ATATCATCATATTGTAGATTTTTACAGTGTTTCATTATGGAGGGTCTGGGATGATAAAGACATGGGACTCAAAACCAAGTCTAAATTGTACACCTGCTAGCTTGTTTAAATGTTTAGTTTTAGTAAGAGTTTTACGGAATTTGAAATACACGTCTTGTAAGATTGTTCCAGGTGGAAAAAAATCACATTGACTCCTGGTCACTTAGTGAAGATAAATAAATCAACACAGAAACAAAGCAATCTGATAAAGAAACACACAGAAACAAAGTAACACAGATAAAGAAACACACAGAAACAAAGTAACACAGATAAAGAAACACACAGAAACAAAGTAACACAGATAAAGAAACACACAGAAACAAAGTAACACAGATAAAGAAACACACAGAAACAAAGTAACACAGATAAACAAACACACAGAAACAAAGTAACACAGATAAAGAAACACACAGAAACAAAGTAACACAGATAAAGAAACACACAGAAACAAAGTAACACAGATAAAGAAACACACAGAAACAAAGTAACACAGATAAAGAAACACACAGAAACAAAGTAACACAGATAAAGAAACACACAGAAACAAAGTAACACAGATAAACAAACACACAGAAACAAAGTAACACAGATAAAGAAACAGATAGAAACAAAGTAACACAGATAAAGAAACAGATAGAAACAAAGTAACACAGATAAAGAAACAGATAGAAACAAATCTGTCACTGTAAAAGAGTTGTTTGTAAGCTCCAATCTTGAATTCACAGGCATGTGACATTAACAGTACAGTAAAAACATGAAAGGGCAGAAAATTATCACTGATGAAAGTATGTGAGAGTATCAAAATGTAAATTATACCAGGTTTTAAAGTAGGGCCTATATTTGTAGGTTAATGTTTAAAACATAAAATATATCGTGAAAAAGCCACATCAATTTAGTGCAGAAACTGCGACAATGTCAGTAGCTTGGCACCGGCAGTAAATGAATAAGTCCATTTTGTAGCAACAACAGTACAGTACATGAGAGAAAGCAAAAACGGGATAGCACTATTAAAAATACACAACAGAGTCACACTATTCATGACGTTTCAGCACGACAAGGAGCACTCTATGTTAGTAAGTGAACAAGCCAGTGAGTTGCAGAGACTGAGGTTTTCAGGACCCTAAAACTACAAACATTTCTCTTCTGAATAAAAGTAAAAAGAAATCATTGGGAGGCACCCTAGCTTAACACCCCAAATCATTATAACAGCCACGATCAAAACTACCCAAGTCATTTTTTTCTTCTCATTTTGAGAATATCAAAGTTAACCTTTATGACTTGAGCAAAAGAGAAACTGTTTACCAAAAGGATTTGTAATACATTCAAATACCCCCCCCCCCCCCACCCAACTGAAGATGTGTACAACTAAGTCACAGGCATTTTTCACAATAGCAATAACTAGAAACTTGAAAATTACTTTAATGACCGGGACGAGTATGCATGTACAAGCTGCATCAAAGTCAAAGGCAAAACTTTTTGAAGGGGCAAAAATGTGGCTACAACATCAAAGAAAATCTAATTAAAAAAACAAAATAAAACGGCAAGGCAAAACGAGGAACGTTTCAAATTAAATCAACTCATCAACAAGTAGCAAATGCAGAATGTATCATAACAAAAAGAAAGAAAACAAAACAAAACAAAAAAAACTGCCCCCCAAAAAGGTGATTCAGCAAGGCCCAATGAACACCGAGTTGAAAGGACACAGAGAAATATAGCACTCAACAAAATTCATGGAATACTTGTAGACCCGATGTCATTTTGCTGCATTCGCAGGTGTGAACCCCCCCCCCCCCCCCCCAAAAAAAAAATATTAAAAAATCAAACAAACAAACAAAAAAACCCGAATCCCCCACCAAAAAAACCCTAACAAAATTTGATAGCATCGAAGAGTAAGTATTTCAGCGCTAAAGGGAAGGCCTACTCTGCTAGCATTCAGTGGGACACTTATGTCCTTCTGACCCACAAGGCCACAGGATGGGTTTGAGTCAGAGTTCAGAGAAGCATAAATCATTACAAAAACAGCCGTTTAGAGCTGACAAAAAGTTAGCAGGCAAATAGATACAAAGGAAGGATAGTAACGAACTTGGAGCATGAGGCCCAAATATTTGAGAAAATCACCAAAAAAAAGATGATTTCCCGAAACTGTGGGTTGGTGGAGGGGATACATCACATACCATTGGTTTGGTGCTCTCCGGCAACCCAATGGGGGGGAGGGGGTGGGGGTGGGGGGAATTTGGTGTGTGC